TCTTCCTTTTTGTCTTTTTTATTGACATTCCCTTTAGCCGCAGTTACAGAACATGTTCCGAAGTTCTTTTTATTCCTGTACCCTACAAATTTAATACAATATATTAAAAACTTACAAGGCATACAAAGAACATTCAATAATATTTTTGTAGCTTTATTTAGCCTTTAAAAAGACAATAGTAGAGCACTACAACAAATGCTAATATTTTAGATTGGGAACGTATTTATTGAATTTGCCTCAAGACGACAGTAACATACCAATGTTCAGTAAATTATATTGAACGACCTTTTCCGACGCAATGTTTCTTCGATATATCTTTGAAACTTTCAGCCATTCAAGCCATTACCATTTCCTGGATAAAACTAATTTCACTAAAAATGTTGAGATCTCTTTTTACACTAAAAACTTGTGTAGTTTGTTGTGTTGCTTCTGTTTGTTGTAAATTGTAAGAGTTTATTACATGCTGTGGACATGCACGTATAAACAGGTTATTATTTGTGACCGTGTTATATATTTGAGAATGTTATTGAGATATATTTCGACGCGTAAATTTAACATCTCGCTTTGAAAATTAATAATTTTCAAAAGTAAGAAGTTATAGATTTCGGTCCGGTTTTGAGAATACGAGTTTTTATCAGATCTCCAAGTTTTGAGGTCCTACGAAGCCGACTATTCCTGGCTGGACGTCCGGTCGTGTGTGTGTGTGTATGTGTGTGTGTGTGTGTGTGTGTGTGTGTGTGTGTGTGTGTGTGTGTGTGTGTGTATGTATGTATGTATGTAAATAAAATTTTGTCGTACGATATCTTGAGAACAAATCAAACGATCGAAATGGGCAACACAGCGTTCGAAAGTGTTTATTGGGACTTCGAGCTAATTAGATTTTCAAGTCAATTGGTCGAGCCGTTTCCAAGATTTTCTAAGGATAAAAAGAAAAATGAAATAGATTTCCGTAAGTTGCGCTCGAATATAAGCAGGAAGTTCCAGGGATAGCCTGCAGGATCAACAGTTTTTCAGGTTTTTTTTTTACTATTTAAATTATTATTTATTTATTAAATAAACTTCAGGGATGGCCCCTAAATTTAAAGATAAGCCTCTAACGGAAAATGAACAGCACTTCGTGAACAGCGACAACTCGGATAAATCGCTCGACCGATCCACTTATATTATATGTGGCTGTGTTGGTAAACAAAATGCGAAACAACACGACCGTTATTATTGTGATTTTTAAGTTTAAAGATAAATAAATAGCAATACTTAATATGAATTAAAATTATTTACTATATAAAAGATAACGCCATCTTTTTTTGCAGCAAAAAAAAACGAACAGTTTGGTTTTTTTGTAGGACGTCGACTCGGCTGCGCAACTAGATTAAGTCTAGTGAGCAGTTCGGCTGCGGTTGGTTTTATTGTACGCACAGGACCGGTTGGACTTGTACTTTCACGGAGGGGAACGACTAAGCCGGTCGTGCGTGTTGCTCTATGCATGCAACTGAACAGGTGTTCAATTAAAAATACTACTTGAAATTTTCAGTATAAAAGTGATTGCATTCTTTGGCGTTACAAAAATATAAACGCTATTTAGCTAAATGTGGTATGATGAACGGGCCCTGTCGAAGTCATGCGTCTTTTTTAGCTATTGATGATTGATTAATATTGTGCTCGCGCCACATTCTGTCATGTCATTCTGACATTGTTGACGTTCAATCAAATTCGTTTCTTTACTTATAGCAGTACCAGGTGTGTGTAAGGATCTTAAGAAAAATGTCCAGTAGCTTATATATAGCTATGTCTATGAACACTTTTCCGAAAATGTCGTATTATTAATATTTATCATCTAACTCTATTCTGTATTTAATTTGTACGAAGTTATACATTTAAAGAGCTAGCGGTTTGTTCTGTTAATAGCATTGTGCACTTTGGCTTTTTGACAGAAAATGTTATTGTTCCCATTACATTAAGATCGTCTTTTTAATAATAATGATCGTTAAAGACGGCCAAATGAATGAGCACTGAAATTCAATTTGTCAAAAAAGACAATTTGCAAAAGGACCAAACCTATAAAACTTTTTAATTATATAGTTAAAAGAAAACATGTTATATTATAAATTAAAACAAATGTTGCTCACATTGCCTCGAATCATCTTTAAATTGAGCTTAGTACAAGAGTGATTTGTTATAGATATTAATATATAAAGTTTGATTCACATCTAGCGTGTCCAGTACCTAGTTTTCAATTTTCTTAGCTATCGAAAGACGGCTACAGTTACTCACAGTCGCCATGAGACAAATTACAGAATGCGCGCGCTTATTTTGTAAAATGCTTAGTAATTTTTAAATCTAAGAATTAACCGTATTTTATTTAAAAAATAAATGTTTTTTGTTATATTTTAGATTAAAAATAATAAAATTTCATTTTTCAAATGTATTTTTTTCTTAATTCTGCTACTACTAACAGTACGAAATATGGTTCCTCTGATCGTATAAGAAATAGCGAAAGAAACTTCAGTTTTACTTATGTATGTTCATTTTTTTCGTTCATTTCTTGTTCAGTTCATTTCTCGGAAACTTACAGACTATATACTTACTTATGTCTTATATATGTATAAGTATATACTTAACTACTATTACTAACGTAAATACTTCAGGGTTGGTCCCATATAATCTTTAGGTAAACGGGGAAAAATAAATAAAAATTATCTATATAGACGTCATTCTCTTTGTTTTAAATGTTTCTTCTCCTTTTTTTAAATAAACCTACCTCCGCACTAGGATTTTCTCCTGTATCGTGGGGGCAGTTTACATACATAAATTTCAAAAGGACAACCATCCAGACCTAGAACAATTGCTTGTAGGCCTTACATATACTTCTTTCGTACTGGATTCGAACCCGCGGTCTTTAGCGCTGCAATTGTTAAGCCACTGCGCCACGGAGCCTTCTACCTTAAACTTGTAATATTCGTTAGTTCATTCAAAAACGAAAGAAAAAAAAACTTTTTCAAAAAATCCACATCATCATAGCTTCTGAAGTCCGGGTTTTAATTCACATTCATACACTGTGTCTTATCACCGACTTCAGAAGTTTTATCCCAAAATATATTTAAAAAATAATTTAATGAATAACGCAATTCTAATATTTTTTTATTATTTATAGTAATAAAAAAAAACATCAGTAACCCGGGTTTGTGGTATATTTTAGGGTCCTGTCGTGATATCTAAAGTATTAGTGAAATATTTTCGAGATTAACCCCAAAAATATTTGTATTAAAATTATTTACAGCGCTCACGAACACGGAATACCTTTATAATATACCTTTGTGGACTGATTTGTTCTAAATCGACTGCTTCTTTAGAGAAAATAAAATTGCAATTGCATTTTTAAAGTAAACTGTAACAATAACTTTCCGCAGCTATTGCTACTGTAATTAGATAATGCTTCGTATTCCACAACAATAAGCTGTCATTCCCTCATTAAAGTACGCTGAAAGATCTTCGTGAAGACAATGCGTCCCGAACAAGGGTTAAGAAAGGTCTAAACCCTCTAATTCATTTCTACTGCCCTAGTGAGAGTACTGTAACATGTTTGGTATTTAATTTATCTATTAATTACTTTCTCTTACACAAGCATTTTATTTGCAAGTTCGTAAAATAGAAAAATAAACATCAGTTCTTTATTAAAATTATACCTAAAATATTATCTATTAACCCCATTGAGTTATGTGTACTACGTACTAGAGAAGCCAATCCGAACATTGACTTTGTTCAACTGAACTGTAGTGCAATCTATACAAACTAAATATTGCGTGAATTGAAGATTTGTGAATTCCATAAGATAATTATTATTACGTTTTATTTAGAAATATGTTTGTTTAGATTAAATTAAGATATTTTATATTAAATTCTTATATTTATTTTATATTAATATCTTATTTTATATTAAAAAGTACTCTTCGCGCATGCGCGGCTACTACTCCCGCGCATGCGCGAATACATAGAGTAGTACACAATTTTTGTTTGGAATGGCTTCTCTAGTACGTAGTATATATAACTCAATGATTAACCCTAAATAATATAAAACAATTGTCCTCGTCTGCATATGTATGTGCATCTGCAAGCCAATGCGCGCCTGAAATCCTAAAACTACTTGAGGGATTTTAATACAATTTTTACTATCATTAAAAAACTAATTGAGAAAGGTTCTTTTTTTAATATTATTAATGCATATTTTATGTAATGATAATAGTGTAATGTTAACGTTTTTAGATTAAGTCGTAAAACGATACCACTACACTAGTAAATAGCACTCGTTCGAATAGTTCGCGCTAGTTCCCGATAGGAAGGATATTAAGCGTTTAGACCTGAGTTTATTTTCAAAACTGAATTCTTATATTACCATCATCATTCACTAGATACGATACTTTATCTGCCTAGAAGTCTGTCTAAGCAGGTCCTCGTATCTATTTCGATCTGAAGGGTATAGACATCCAATGTAATTACAGGTTTTGAAGCGTTTCATCTTAGTTCTCAGAAGTGACAACACAGCTGCAGCCTTCTATTATTGCAGTTGGCATGGACTGCTGTAACCATTTATCATCAGGGATACTGTAAGTTCGTTTGTCACTTTAGATTTATAAAAAAAAAACTTTCACGGCAGCGTAATCCACTCACACTACAACATAAGTGCAAGTATTGTTATTTGATGAATTGAATATTTTCATATTGTTTCTGCTCATATAGCGACTTTTAATAACGAAAATTGCACGAGAAATACGAATACATATCCATGAAAGGTGTCTATTAGATTTTATTCAGCCGTTATCATCACAATTAGGAGCCCTTTTGAGAGAGAACGTTTACATACGTAGACATTAGAGTAGCATCAGTCCCTAAACTTTAACGATGCGGCATTATTGTTATTGGAAATTTTGAACATTGTGTAGTAAATACGAATGCCAGGTACGGTCAGTATGTTTTTTTTTTAGAACGAAGTTCCTTATCGCACTCTACGAATTTGACGGATGGAGGCTAGGTGAGAAAAAGTGAAAAATTTTGCCGTCACGACCCTTACTATAGTGGGAGCGAGATAGAATGATATCCATCTCTCTCGCACTTTTTCTTATCTAGCTGTAAAAAAATATTATTTTAAATGACACTTCATTTTAATAGACGCTAGTAATTCATTTATTTCTATTTGTTAATCAATAATATAATATATTTATCAATAATAATATACTACGAAAGGAACTTCATTCCAATCGAGTGTTCCACGACACTCACGCATGTTGATTTTTTTATAATTAATGGGCAAGTTTTATGTATGGTTCATTTTTGAAAAGGCTTATGGCATTGGTAGATGATATTTCCTTTGATTCTGATTAGTCTGTGACAAATTGCTGTGTGAAGCAAAAAGATCACTTAATGCAATCCCTCTTTTAAATTTGTTTATTCAAAGATTCATCATCAAGATTATTACAGTCTATCACTAGTCCACTGCTGAACATAGTCTTCTCTTAATGAATGTCTTGCACGGTCCTGAGCCACCTAAGTATATCCAGAACTTTTCTTCGCCGTCGGTTGTCGGTTCTTTGAACTTTATGACCGGCGCATTAACACTTCAGGTCACTGACCCGTTGGGCTACATCGGTTACTTTGGTTCTCACTGGTTTAGACTCAATACAAAGTCTAAAACCCTCTCCATTGCTCGGTTATCAGGAAAGGTGGTGGTCACCTCCCGAAAGCATCCGAAAGCTACTAAGCCGAGTTGGCTCCGTCGGTAATAAACCTTTCGGTCGAAGTTGGAATTCCCTTGTCGGACAATTTGGCCTAGGTCCTAGGTCCTCGTTGACGAGTATGTTTAATTCGTCAACAGATTCAAGCATAGTGCTCCCAACAACTAGTGGCATAGGTGTGACATGTACGTTAAACATGATCTTTGTCTTTCATCTTAAGATAAGACTGAGGTTATTGCGGCGCTTATCATCGCTCCACAAGCGAAACACATAAAGCCTAAATCGCGCTAACAAATTTCCGAAGTTAAAGCAGTATATATAGAATAGCTCCGAACTACCACTCGGAGCGTTGGCCGCTCCCCGGGCAGAACACCTTGCCCAGCGGGATATCTCCCCTTTTCCTTCCACCGACTACACTGGTGACCAACCAACGTAATATCAACATGCAACCAACAACCTTCGGAAAACTACAACTTCAAGCCTTCGTCATTATCCTTAAGAACCCCTACCATTCACTTCCAAGAATCGTCTTCTGCAGTCTTCAGCTAATGCAAGCCAGTCCAACTTGTCTTCATCTCGACTCACCGCAGATTTATAAGGCAGACTTCTGGCACTTGCTCCAGCTCATCGTTCTCACCGGCATCACTTGCAAGTCCGTAGTATGGCATGCATTACACACCGGCATATCGTTCGCACCGGCGTCACTTGCCCTTACGCACACAACATGCATTCCCCACCAGCATTAAGGACGCACCTGCAATCGGACTGCACTATCGACCTCCAGTCTGAGTAGGGGGTGATGTGGCGGCGCTATCGTCGCGCCACAAGTGAAACACATCGAAGCCTAAATCGCGCTAACAAATTTCCGAAGTTAAAGCGGTATATTATGTAGAATAGCTCCGAACTTCCATTCGGAGCGTTGGCCGTTCCTCGGGCAGAACACCTTGCCCGGTGGGAGATCTCCCCTTTTCCTTCCACAAGGTCATTGAAAGTAGTGCTGAAGTCCTCCAGCGATTTTGCCGTAATCGCTACATCGTCGGCAAATCGAAGGTAGTTAAATATTATTTTGTTTTATTTACACATCTTATGCTTGTTGGTTTTACAAATGAAATACGAGTATTATATGCTTTAGTAAAAGTTCCTACGTTGTAATTTTTTCTAATGTATAGTTTTGCCATTATTTATTGTATTGACGATATTTTGTCGAATTAGATGCAGCCTTGAAGCCGAAAAACTTTTCTATTGATTAAAAGTGTTAGTTATTTCGTATTTAAAATAAAGGCATTCTCTTTCGAGCAACGGTGTCATTATTTAAATAAAACTTTATAATTTAATTTGCATTCGTACAATTTTTGTCGCTTCTCGGTTTTTATGAAGCTTTAAATAAGTTATCACTTCCGAAACAGTTCCGGCATGCTGCCTTTGTGTATTAAAAATAGAAAACAATTCGCGAATTTGCTCAAAAATACGGAATAGTTTATTTTTTCTAAAATATAAAGGTAAACACGGCTTTGACGGCTCCGTGGCGCAGTGGCTTAGCAATGAGTTGTTGTGCTGGGTGCTGCGGGTTCGAATCCCGCACGGAACAAGTATTTGTATAGCCTACAAATAACTGTTCCGGGTCTGAATGTGTGTCCTCGTGCAATTTATGTCTGTAAAATGCCTCTACGATACAGGAGAAAATCCTAGTGTGGTGGTAACGTTTTAAAAAAACACCGAAGGACTAATTCTATCTTATGCATAAAACTAAAATAAATGATATCTGTTAATATTTGCTAAAGTAAAAAAGAAATAGCGTAAAAATATGTCGCTGCTGTGCACAGGCCTTCTCCCAATCATGAGAAATTTTTATGGCATGGTGGAGTCAGCTGCACTGCCCTCAAGCGTGTGTATTTTCATATGTTCTCGATTTATTTTTAAATTCTTCAGACCACCAAAGTTTTTAAACGTTAAATCAAAATAAGTAGAGATGCGCGCCACCGACCGAGCACTAAGCGCACCAGATAAGCAAGCGCATATAGAACGAGTAGCTAGAGCTGAGTGTGTGTGCGTGTGTGTGTGTGTGTGTGTGTGTGTCAAAGTTAGATATCAGCCAGCTGTGTAGCCGCGGGCTAATGGAAAATGGAAATATAATATAAATGGAACAATATTGGGTATTGGATATTCTTACACCGCCGCTACAAGATAAATAAGTAACTTTGAATTTTAAAAAAATATCAATAAAATAATATTTTTTTACATTTAAACTATATAAAAATAAAATAGATTTTAAATCTAAGTATTATATAACTCATGTGCACACGACTATAGTAAGTCGTTGTCTTTATTAAAGGGAAACTGCGTAAACGGACCATAGATTTTACTAAACAATACTTCCGTCCGAAAAAATATCTGAGTTAGCCTCAAGTAGTGCCTAAAGAAATATTACTTTGGTATTAACTTATAGATTTATAGAGTTTTGCAGTATGCGGGCAGGATGAAATAGGATTTGGTTTGCTAAAAGCTGCACTCTAAACATCAATTCCCATGACACCTTTATGACAGGCCGCCGCTTTCAGACTATCATTTTACTTATTTTCAGAAAAATAGCAGTATATAGTCACAGCCTAAAATTAGGTACAATTTAAAATCATCATTAATCATCAGCCTGCGGCAGTCCACTGTCTTATCGGTTTCCCAAGTCGCGCCACTTAGCTCGATATTTGAATTCACGCATTCAGTAGCTGCCAGTTGCCCTGCGCATATCGTCATTCCATCTATCCAGGGGATTTGCTCAGATTGTTGCTTCATTTAGCCATCTTAGCCAGAAACGTGCTTATTAAATGTATACCTTAGTTTCACATTTGTACGTCTACTAACAAAGTTAGTGCGAAACTATATCTCAGAGTTCCGCATTGTATGTTGGCATGAGATTTCACGTGAATTTTAAAACTTATTAAACGTCATATACGAAACTAACTTTTATATAAAAGTAAACATTTTACAATAATTGAAAACCAATTTTAAATACTAAAAAAAAATAAAACATTTATTCTTTTTAGGATTACTTTTCATCGACAACATCTAGAAAATTCGCATGAATTACGTTCAAAATCTATATATTGTTATGAGATTATTGCAGACTTTAATTTTAAACCAAATAAACATGAAATAATTCCTATATGTACAGATTTTTTTTTCCTAGTTTGGCAACTTCCAATAGATTCTACCAGCGTGAAGTATTTCATGATAGACACACAGATTATTGATTAGTTTCCGTTTCCGTAGATGCGCTTACTTAGCTTTATGTTACGATATGTACAGATGATGCTGTTTAAAACATATTTAAAATCAAACATCGAAAAAATATCAAAGAGAACAAAGTTTTTTAAATAAATGTTACATTAGCATAAAGATTCGAGTGATGCTCAGCTAGTCAAACTTTAAACTCATATGAGTGATGTTTGTGTATTTACCAGTTAGAATTACGTTGCGTTTCTGTAAGCCGGCATTAGTGGTAGAATATATTCTTGAAATTTATGTGGCCCACCGCTGCGATATAAGCCATTTAATTAAAAAAAATAATTTGTTTCAGCTAGTTCCTATAAATCGTAACATACGTAAAAAGACATATACGATGAATATAAACCTCATCGTTTCTCCAACTCGGTTAAAACCAGTTCAGAATGAGTTTGCACAAGAGAACTTTTATTTTTGTCTGTATAACTTTTTCTATCGGCGTTGCAGCTAATATATTGCGGCAATTTTTAACAAAGCACGATGTTGCTTCTGTTGCCTCGATTTTATGTATCTTTTTAACCGAACTACTTATGAACTCTTGCCGTCTCGCTTATGTTACTTTTTACTAATGTTAGTGTAAGTCTTTCTGTCGATCATTTTGTTTGAATAATATGTTAATAAAGTGTCGTTAGATGTTTGAGCCTGATTGGTATTACTATATAAACATATAATATATATAATACGAGTCCCGTTACAGAAGAACCCAAAGTCTCGATTAGTCTTAATCTCATGACTTTGTCATAATGCCATAGTCCTTTGCTAGAGATCCGTCTACCGGAAAGAGACAACTGTCAAACTTGAACGCCGATTGTGTCAGCGTCATTCCCAAGATACCTGAGATTTTGGGTGAGACTAAGAGGTTCTACGGACAGGTGTTTTCATAATTGTCGTAGCCACACGTAAGTGTGAGTAACGGTAAAAAACAAGTCTCATACGACACTGTTTCGATGATGTCCCAGACGTCAGTCTGAGCGAGATTGGAATGAAAGGCCCCGGGCAATGATGAATTTACACATGAGATTCTGAAATCTGGTGCAAAATTAGTTCTTGAATACGTACAGAAGCTCTTAAATTTCGTCCGCCATGGTGGCACCACACCGTAGATGTGGAGAGGGAGTGTTGTGGTTTTGCTCATTTTTACTGAAGATATACATATACATTTCCATTAGGTTTCCATTACAAATCGTCTCGCATCCAGACTTAACGACTTCTATATATAGACCCATAGAGTTTTATAATCCAGCTATTATTAATACTCTAAGTATAGACCACATATAGTCTGTTCACGGCATACGGTCGCTTCTGTGTCGCACCGCCTTGGCACTGCTGCCGCCGCGACATTAAATGTCGCCGCGTGTGGCGTCAACCCGCAGGAGAATTTGGCATTTTAAAACGAAGCGCCACGCCCTAGTGAAAGGTTTCTTTGCTACCTAACTTGTGATTATTATATTTATTCGTATTTTATTACAATAACCATAAGAATAAAATAGTATTCCTTTTTTATTCTTAGAATAGAGAAACATTTATTTAACAAACACAGTAAAAAATAATAAAATAAAATCAAAATAATAAGTGCTCCGTACCGACACTATCTTAGCGAACATACTATACACACACCGGAAAATTATACATTAGACAGAAGAGTACAATCAGCCACTTTGTCTTGCGTTTGTGGACTATGGGAGATACTTTGATGCTCAATGACCTCAATGGTGTCAAGCAACGGATGGGTATTAAAATGAACATGGATAAAACAAAAATCGTATGCAACGTAGTTGTTGGTAACACCACGTTCCAAGATGTTGCCGAGTATATTTACCTAGAAAAAAACTGTCCGACTAAGTAAGTCCAACTTCGACTGACAGGTCAATCAAAAATATGGGAATTTGGTTCAACTTATAACGCGACCACACCGCGAGGTTTATGTTGTAAAAAACAAAACTTATTATCGTGGTACTTTGTAGGGGCTTTTAAGCATTAATTACCCCATTTCCTCTCGATTGCAGTAAAGGATACCAATAGAAGTATCAGTAAAATCCCATAGCATCAAATAGATCGCGTTACTAGTTACTAGGCGCTAGTAGCTACTAGTACAGCGGTAGTAAGGAATGTAATTTAGACCCAATTGAAAATGTACACAACTATGCTTGAGTTCATTCAGTTACGCGAAGAGAGTGTCAGGGGAAATTTCATTTTGAACTACTTCGCAATCTTAACTTTATAATATAAAAGCACTGTGAGGAAATACTACTTCGTAAAGTGAAAGTAACTTGTCTGCCAAGTAACAATATTTTCAAACAAAGAAGTATCTTTTCTCGCTGTAAGTAATTCTAGATTGCTTTTAAATTGAAGAATTTATTATTAGAAATATTTTCAGTGACAGTATAATAGTTACAATATGTTTTTTTTTATGATGGAATAAAAAATCGCTAACGTGGTATCTTGCCATTCACCTTATCCTGGTTAGTCCAAATAAAGATGTTTTTTCTTCTACATCATCATACCGTTAAAATTCACTGGCCTTTCCCGTTGCAGGGAAGATTTGACTATAACTTTGATTTATCATCACATGTCCAAAAAATATAGCGCAAAAGTGCGCTAACATATTTGAAGATTATAATTGAATACCTCTTAGCCTGTAACTTTAATGACTCTACACACTATTAAACCGAAATGCAACATTGGAAAAAACGCTCTTACCCAGACAGACTGTTATTTCTACACGTGGCACACGAACGCTGCAGCTATATTATGGTTGTAGCACGAATGATGGGCTTGATCAGAGAAGCCAGCTAAGAATAACAGTTTAATGCTGTTGTGTTTTGTATGGTAAGTTTAGAGAACCGTAACCCTTTTACTGAAAACAAGGCATTCCATCTTAATCCTGAAAGGTGACGAC